CTTTTGAGGTTTTTTGAGGGACACGGTAATTGTTTTTTGTTCAATCCACTTAATTTGTAAAAAAAACATCAAGTTAACTTAATCCATTTGTGTTGGAACAACATGAAGGAATTGTGTGGAACCCTGCATTTTCTCTCACTATAAAGGCAATTACACAGTGGCTCAGTGGTTAGCACTGCTGCTCACGGCAAGAAGGTCACTAGGTCAAGTCCTGGCTAAACCAGAAGGCCTTTCTGTGTGGAGTTTGCATGTTTTTTTCAAGTTTGCTCTGGTTTCCCCCACAGTCCAAACACATGTGAAATGCAGTAGTCAACAATTAAAGTGGATCAAATCATTTCATCAAATTTCTCCTAAAAATATTCAACACATATTCTTGTCTAGGGAGGATTTTAAAAAACTTGATATGCTCAGCTCCACTGCAAATTTTTACAGAAAAAAACTAAATCGGCAGGAGAGTAATTGGGGGTTCACAAGTTAGTGCACTTCCACTGAGAAAGCAGAAGGAAAATGAGTATTTCTTGTTTGTGTTTTGTTCGGTTTGTTGATTGTAGACGTTATAAGGGTGTGTTAAATAGGGCAGCATTAAGCTGGAAGAAGGGAAGTGGGTCCCAATTATATGTTAACCAATTATAAATGGGACATTCTACCAGAAACGTACATTTTTTACTTGTCACTTGTGAAAAATGTGACAGGGGCTAACCTTTAAGCTTAAAAAAAATCATACAAAAGAAGCATAAAGTCATACAATTCAATGACAGAACGCATGCTTGATCACTGTCAGCTTCTCCTCATTCAAATGATGTCCAAGTCATAGCTTTAAAGGTGTAGTGCACACATTTTGTGTTATATTTTAAGCTAATTTTACAGGACTGACAGAAACAAGGGGGCAATTGTCACGTTATTTGTGTTCTATATTTTTAGTATTTATTTGTAGAATTTATTTATAATTTCATGTTTTTAATCAATTGATGTGAATGATAACAACTTAAACGCTATTTCTGAAGTTTTTCTTTTCTACTACATAACAGTTTTCAGCATAACAAAAATGAATACAGCAGGTTTAATTGGGCTGAGGATAAGGAAAATGACAGGGTTTACCAATTTGTAGTGTTTTTAATAGAGAAAAATCTGAGAAGCAAATGAATGGCATATTCCTTTACAGAACAACTCCCAGAAATCAACCAGTCCATTTTAGACATTTTTTTTTGGGGATGAAAAACTTTGTATTCACTAATTATGTTTTTATTTCAGGAACAGATCATGTTTGTTTCTGGTAGACTGTCCCATAGACAAAGCCTGCTACCATGCTTCCAATAATCAGTTGTGAATAATAATCAGTCTATTAACCTCAACCAGCCAGAAGATATTTCTTAAACTTGTTATTATCAGCACTGAAAGCCAGCACATGCGTCAGATGAGCGTTTCAGACATTGTAAACTTTGTGCAGAAAATGACATTTTTAAAGAGATTCTTTTCTTAAATGTAAAAAAAGAAGCAGGATTTCATTGTATTCTCATTAGTAAAAAAATAACAATAATAATAAAACAGTCAATTCTTATAAATAAACTATATGATGGCACTAACACACAGTTTTGTTTATACAGTGAGGGGCACCGTCATCTTTTTGCAAGGGGGCCTACTGCATAGTTTGCACTAAACTGGTTTTCCCAGCCTTGTAATTATTATATCAACATTATGATATTTTCAAAAGCCTAATTAATGCTTAATGAACTCATTTTCGTGGTTCGGGGAGGATGTGTTTTTCTAAGCCACTTGTACAAGCTCATCATTCTCCACTCATCTTGTCTCTTTTCTTCCGACGTCAAGGTTTGTTTTTTCAGCCTCCTCACTTAAACAGTCTGACGGCTGAGTGAGGGAAAAGAAACACAAAAAATAAATATGAACATATAGGTGAGGCAGACACTGAAAACCTTAAGTCAACACTTCTAATGAGAGTCCGCGGGGTTAGAAGCTAATGAAGGGTTAATTAGTCCTAATTGGCATCATTAATCATCACTATAGCTGTCACAGAAAGACAGAATGGAAACCGCGTGGAAACGTTGCGATTTCTATATGGCTTTTAAATTATTTCTCTGGCTAATAACAGAGGGAATGTGTGTGGTCTTTTGATGTTGTTCTTAAAGAAGACACTTGAAAACTTACCAACACCGCATCAACAAGCGCAAAGCTTCTCATGCACAACAGCGCACTCGTGTGGCGGAATTGCGCTACTACTACTATCCTACTTTTACACACACACAGACGTTTTTTTTTTACAGTCTTTGACACACAAAGACGCGCACACAACGCTCTTTCAAAAATACAACGGAAAAGCAGTACATCTGCAACTGTATGTTTTAATGTGTTAATCATTTACATTTTGATGCAACAACCCACAGAGAAAATACTCAGGGAGTAATACAGTGTTCACGTCAACTTTGGCCTTTGACCTTTGACTTGTCCACAAAATGAAACTCTTTTCCCCATGTACAGAAATCTGAATATTTAATGCCAGAAACACACACAGGCACACACAGAGCCTCTCTCACAATGACACACATACACACACACATACGCTGTCTCCCAGAAACTGAGAAGCGTCATGAAAGTAGAAAGATCAGATGAATGGAAATGCTGTTCGAATAATTTTAAAATGACCCAAAAAGTGACTTTTGAATGTAGTGTTAGGCTTAAACATGTACTCAAAAGAATGCAAAGAGTTTCAAAATATACACACAAGGATGCTCTTATAGTCTCCTCTATCAAAATGGACATTACACATGTAGGTCAGTTTTTATCACAAACCACCACAACACATTAGCTTATCGAGCCATAAATATACAATGAAACACCAGATAATCTCGCAGGACAGTTTTTCCATTGTAAAAAACAAAAACGCTCATCAAGACGTTTTAAGTCATGCAAAAATAACCATTAAGTACAACTTTTAGAAAACATATAAATACTACCACGCGATAATCCACCAGCTCCACTCCAAACATTCTGACATCTGTTTAGGAAATGATTCAGAACTGATTATTCTTACAGTGACAGGTTTCCCTCAACCTGACACAGGAGAAACCAGAAATACCCACAAACGCCAGAAGATGGCGCCCAAAACCACACAGCTCGGGGTGCCAATAATCAAACATCTTGTGCTGCGTCCCAATTCGCATCCTTATACTACGCCCATTATTTTTTCTTAAGAAGTAAAAAAGTAGCTATATAAGTTTGAGTCTGTAACAAAAGAGTAGCCTATGCAAGCTTTGGGACACACTACCTCGTTACCAGATCGTTGTGTTGCTTAGTTATAAGCCTTGTCAATCATCCACATTTCTGTCATATTAAACTTCCTACCTTATTGGAAAAGCAGTAGCAGGTTAATCATGAAAGTGTTTCATGCGGAGAAATCTCCTCAGGTCTCAGGATAATTCTGCATTCAGACGGTAATGCCCAAACGCCTTTAAATAAATATAATTAACAATCATACAAACATCTGAACCTAATTCTGTCTACTTGACGGTTGGTCTCACGCGTCCATCAAGTTTGTAGTTTATTTAACACTTACCGCGTTTGTAGTTCTAATCGAATTCGCGCCTGATGCGCAATGTATTATGGGAAATACCAGCGGTTAGAGTAAGGATGATTCTACAACAATAATTTTTCTTTTTTTATTAAATATAATAAACCATCCAGAAACCTTTGGCAAACTCTTTTCAACATACTACGATTTGGGACATACTATATTTTCAAATACTATTTAGGGCAGGTAGTATGCGATTCGGGACGCAGCACACATATTTCTTCTTTTTGTGGTGGTGGATATCGTTACCACAGCTTGAAACTATAACTATACAACTCTAACATATTGTTTTTCCCCCTTGAATATTTAGTACTGTGGTAATATGTGTAGTATGTAGTACTCACTTCCATTTGCAGAAAGAAATTTGGCATCAAACGTTTGTAAACATGCATTTACTGAGGAATTCAACACTGCTATGTGCAAAAGCCAGAAAGAGTCGATGAAAAAAAAACGGGTAGACTCTTTAAATGTGTAATATTAAATATCCATCTGAATTGTCAGAGCTAAGGACATTTTTCTCATCTCGTTTTCAGAGATGGCCTTGAATCTGTTTTCTGATTTAACCCATTATGTACTAGCATACATAATAGACTGTCATGAAACAGTACAGGATGCTGCAAGAACCCAGCAAGCATTTTTTGTCTAATAGATGTCTAATAGACGTCTAAACATAGTCGTCTTGGCTAAAACAAGGCTAAATTTTAGAATAGACCAAAACTAGACTAGCCATCAAATAGACAGAAATGAATGACTACACACATAGTCTGTCTAATCTGTCTAATCTGTCTATTTGACACTAGTCTAAATATAGGCTATTCTTTGACGTCTATAAGATTTTCACTGAGAGTCCAAGTTTAGTCTTGTTTTAGCCAAGCTGTCTACGTTTAGATGTCTATTAAACACAAAATTGTTTGCAGGGAATGCTTTTTTTTTGAGTGAATATATAGTTGAGCCGTATAAAAAGCAGGAAAGTCTTACTTACACAGACAAACAAATATACATAACTATTCTGCACTTTGATTTCCACAGGTTAGTTGTGAGTTTAGACCTAACAGCGTCTAAAAAGTGTTCATATCTCTCGTAATGCCCCTGTACATTAATGCTGTGTCCATCTCAGTCATAATCCAAAAACCTGAAGCATAACTCGTCAACTCAAATAATAATTTACATTTGTTACGTTGCAGACCTGCCAGAACTCTAAAGCTCGCTGACCTTTTAATGCTTCCATGACATGAACAAACACACACTTTAACATTCTTACAACCTTACCCGATCAAAATGGACAGTCTGCCTCCTTTGCCATTGTTTAAACATTTGTTTGAAATGGTGCGTTTTAAGTCTTCAAGCAGTGAAAGAAGAGGCGTGCTGATGTTCATCTGGTGCTGGTGAGTCCGGAGTCTCTCCGCTCTCTGTTTTGGGGCCAAAGTGAAAGAAGAATCTAATCTACTGAACACACCTTACACAAACACCCAGAAGAAAACAGGTGACTATACTTGGATGTGAGTGTGAGCTTGTGTTTACCGATCGATGCAGCGCATGCATGTCTCATGTCTTCAATATCCAATCACAGCAATCTTCCAGCTACAATTCAAAAGGACTTACTTTAGAGTTCAGGACCTCTCGAGTTTGTATTAGTATTTAGATGAACTGGATGGAGTGTGGGGTAATAGATGCTGGCGGGATGGGGATTGGGGTCGTGAGGGCACTAGATTGAGTCTTCAGACTGGAGATGAGGGCAATAGAGTATATAGAGACTAATAGCAGGCAGTAGAGTGTCGTCACAGGGGTCATAAGAAGCAGAACGGGTGATAAACAGTCACCGAATGAGATGTCTTGTGAGAATCTGTCCACCTCCAGTGGTTATTTTGTGTTCTTTCTGTCTCTTAGTTTTATCCTTCGCTACTCTCCTGCGCTCCGCGGTGCTCTGGATGCAGGTTTGCCATCGTGTGTTCGGCGATTTCGGCCCTTCCTCATTTCCTTTAGGTGCTTCCACTTTTTGGAGTTCAGCGGATCATGAGCTGGCACCTCGATGGCTGGATCTGGTGGGCTCTTCCCTGATAGGCTGTGCTTGCGCGACCACACTTGTTCACAGATCTGATCGACTGTGTTTAAGTTTGGATGATCGACCAACTGCATAAAGTCCCTGTACCACAGTTTTTGATTGGTGGACTGGCCATGACTGACATGTGAGTGGGCGGGGCTGCGGGGGTTAACAGCAGAAGGGGCGGAGCCAGCCGAAGGCAAAATCTCCAGTGTAATGGCCAGGATAGTCTGGGTGAATCCGTGCTCCATAGAGTGGCATTGATATACACCAGCGTCTCTACGCACAGCTCGCCTCAGCAATAACCCTCGCTCAGTTTGCAGAACACGCTCATCCAGATGCACCTGTTACACACAAACACACACCCAATGAATGCATCAAGCATCAGTAGCGATGGCACTGATAGCAGAGAGAAAATGAAAGTCATTAATTGAAACAAAGACACACATTTATCATCTGTTATCAGTGCTGTCTATATCCGTCTTTCTCATAATAAGCCCACATATCTGCCCCAGCCTGCCTCTCACCTCCTCCCGTGGGTTTTCCGGAAGCTTCTGATAGGTCCATGTAATCTGGGCCTGCAGTGATTTCGGGACGCATTCCAGGAAGGAGCTGCTTCCATCCACAGCGTACAACCTCTTCTCCAGGACACGCTGCTTCTGATGGTCTGTGGGACACGCATGAAGAACAACGTTACACTTCAAAGCATTAATAAAATGTAGTTAAAATTTTACTCTCAATATCAAGAGTGTGTGCATAACACTTTACAAAAGTAAACAAAATATACTGTATGAACCGCATAGACAGTAAAATCAGATGTAGACTTTGTTTTTCAGTGCAAACAACTTAAACCAAGATATACAATGTGTACTTGAGAAGTAGAGACAAACCAAACTGTTTATAAAAAAACTGATCAGTATGATGTATGATTCTGGCTCAATGAAAAATTACAAAGTCCAAAAAGTTACAGGGTTTCAATTAAATTTCTCTTTTTGAGCACCCTGACAGATAATTTGTGTTATTTTAGGCAAACAAAAATGACTTTGTTTTTAAAATTCTGATGGCTTTTTGATTTAAGACTTTGTAGATATTTTAGGTGTAAAACAACAAAAATAAATAGTAAGAAACAAAACAAAGATGATGCAGCCATTTTAAAATAAATAAATTAATAAATAAGACAATAACTATTTGAATGTAATGGCAGATAAATGCTAAACAGGAAATATTAAAATCCTAAATAAAAGTTTTTTATAAATGTGAAATGAACTAAAGTTGTTATTTTTTAAATGATACAAGTGAAGATCCTTTCTAAAAGATCAACATTTAAACAGCCTTAATTTAGTTTTATTGATAATGAAGATTTTCAACAGCCATAACAGCTAAGGTTAATGCTTTTTTGCAAACAATGATGCAATCTTTTTTTCTAATGAATTTATATTTCTTAATACAAAGCACGAAAAATTTATACGGATCAGAAATCTGTAACAAAGTAAACATTTTTACTCTCAGCTTTAATCATATTAATAAATCCTTGCTGCATACAACATAAAACAAAAAAGTTCAGAGTTTTGAACAGTAATGTGTCCCTACTTTGTTTTAATCTTACTGTCCTATAACAGAAAAAAACATTTTAAGATATTCATGAGCACATTTGTAAACCATCAAATAAAGTGAGAGTTAACCCTAAAAATAACCCCTAAAATAAGAGCTTCCAACCTTTTGTAAGATTAATTCTTACGTTGAACACAAAAGAAACGTTTTCAGTGAGCAACTGACAACCGTAGGAAACCAAAATACTATTGTAGTCAGGGGCTAACAGTTTCCAACATTCTTCAAAATATCTTCTTTTGTGTTCATCAAAAGAAAGAAACTCAAACAGGTTTGAATGACAGTATTTTTGGGTTAACTGTCCTTTTATGAGCCACATTTATTTGCCATTGTGAATAAAGATTAAAAACAGAGAAATGTCTCCTCCTTGAGGCTGTTGACGGTACTGCAGTTTTACCTCCTGAGCAGAGGGCATTAGGATCTCCGTTCCTCACATCCTGACGCCGGAACCTCCTACACGCATAAAAACACACACACACACACACACACACACACACACAAGCATATTTAAAAACTTAACACATCATCAGGTTTGACTGTCAGTCACAAGTGTGGTCTAACAGTATGAAACTAATATTGAATATGTCTCAGAATTTTAGACTCCAATGAGTGCATCTGTACCGTTTGGTGTTTGGCAGGTATCGTGTGCAGGTGTGTCCGTCCCAGGCGCAGTACGGATCTCGAGCCAAACAGCACTCGGCACAGGCTTTACCGTACATACTGCAGCGGTGCAGAGGCACCTGGACAACACCTGTGTCTGAGCCAACATACAGCTGTTGCTGGAGAGAGACAGAAGAACAGCACCGCTTGATTTACTGATGTGCTGCTTTCATGTGCTCCTGTGATCTTGTTTAAAAATAGCTGACATTTCCCCTCCTCTCAAAAAAGATGTATTCTTACCCGTTTGGAGGAAATCTGCATACTGATAATAGACGAAGAGTCCTGCAACAAGAAGAGTCCAATGCTAAGTTAATGTGTTAGAAAAGATTGTCTGTCGTGCTTAATGTATTATTTTTGAGATGTTGCTTATTTTTATTGAAAAGGATTCTAATCGTAAATTATTTTAATGATACTAAGTAACAATTATGCAGTGGTTATAATCCATTGATGATGTGTTAACCACATTTTTAGGACTATTCTTTGTAGCACACACTTCTAAAGTTTCTGTCTATTTTTAAGGAATACAGTGGACAGATTATAGGTGAGGTGGATGGTAAAAAATTAAACAAAAAGCAAAAATAATGAAAAAGTTAACTATCACAATACATACAGATACAACTTCAAATTCGAAATAAGAGAATGTGCATATTATATGTAATGTATATTTAACAAAACATGTTTTACTCAAAATCATAGCCTCTACTTAAACTTTTAAATAAAAAAAAAAATAATAAAAACTCATTATTTAAATAATGATCACTTCATGTTATGGTGCCCTTTTTGTATATTTAAGCACCGAGTAATATTAGTTAATTAAACAAGCTCCTGCTATAAGGTTAAGATTATGCTTTTGTCTATAAATAATAATAACAATGCACCTAATTTTAATACAGGGTAATACAAGGACAATGCAAAAAAAAAAAGTAATACCAAAAATAAATAATACCTTAAAAAAAAGTTTTAAGAAGTGATTTAAAAATACTTCGGGATTCTGCATTGCGAATATCAGCAGGTAAAGAGTTCCACAATTTAAGTGCCAATGAAGAGAATGCAATTAGCCGCCTTGACTGAGCAGTTAAAAGACCAGCATTAGACGAGCGTAAAGCATATCTAGGGGTATAATAGACAGCCGGTCAAAAGTTTGGGGTCAGTAGGATTTTAAAAAAAGCTTATCCTGCTTACCAAGGCTGAATTTATTTAATCAAAAATACAGTATAAACTGTAAACTTGTGAAATGTTTTTGCACTATAAAATAACTGTTCAAAAGTAGTTTATCATTTAATTTAATCCTTTATTCCAGTGCTTTTAAAGAAGAAATTTCAGCTTCATTACCCCAGTACTCAGAGTCACATGATCCTTCAGAAATCACTTTAATATTATTTTTATTATTATTATTATTATTAATGTTAATAGTAATAAAATCAATAATGACTGGAGTAATACTTTCATTTTAACCTACATACAATAAGAAAGCAGCCATTTATATTTTTAATAAATATTTAACAGTTTAATGAATTGTTGTTTTTAAACGCCTTATAAATGCCGCCTTAAATTAATTCTAAAATAAAAAAATGTTTTTAAAAAACATGAAAAAACTGACCCCAAACATTTGAACGGTAGTGAATTTACATAATATATATGTATAATTTACTGTAATTACTTCAAGAACACTGTAAAAGTGTGAAACCTCATTGAAATACAATTTATCTCTACATGAGTACTTGACTATATTAAGTTTTAGTTTATGTTATCCCTCTAAATGAAAGCCACACATTTTTGTGTTCACCTTAAAGACGTGCAGCTCCTCCAGCAGCAGCTCAGTGTTGCTCCAGCTTCCCTTGGGCACCGAGATCACCTTCAGCACAGAGCCCACATCTGCAGGAAAAAAAAACAGAGAGACTTTAACCTGAGTCATATTCTTCCTCTAAACACACACTCTTCAATATTCAGTCAATACTGTACCTGTGCCAATGAACATGACATCATAGTGTCCGTCGGCTGCATTGACTCTGTCTACAGTAATCTGAGTGAAGGTGTATGGGATACCGGTGCGCAGGAACAGCGGTCGGCCACCCAGAGGAGTCACTGGATTAAACATTAGCGGATGGTGCCGTGCAAACTGGATTACGTTATCAGGAAAACCTTTGGTGGACTCGAAACTGCCGAAGGTCTTACTGGGACACTGAGGAAGAGGGAGAGACAGAGAGAGAGAGATACTGTATCTGTAGACTCCGGAAACATAATCCGCTGTTGATATCAACATGTGACACAGGTCAGCAAGTTCAAACATTTAACCAGTTAATATTGAATCTAAATGCACTTTTACTTTAACATTCAAACTGTGTGAAAACGCACTGATGACTTTGATGCTTTAATATGTTAGACTACCACTTACACAGGGTTTTTCCCATAATGAACCAATAATTATAAATAATACAACACACTCATTATTAATAATTATTTTAAAAATATATACAGTTGAAGTCAGAATTATTAGCCCCCCTTTGATTTTTTTCTCTTTTTAAAATATTTGCTAAATGATGTTTAAAAGAGCAAGGAAATTTTCACAGTACGTCTGATCATATTTTTTTCTTCTGGAGAAAGTCTTATTTGTTTTATTTCGGCTAAAATAAAAGCAGTTATTAATTTTTTAAACACCATTTTAAGGACAAAATTATTAGCCCCTTTAAGGTAAATTTTTATTTGATGGTCTACAGAACAAACCATTGTTATACAATAACTTGCCTAATTACCCTAACCTGCCCAGTTAACCAAATTAACTAAGTCTTTAAATGTCACTTTAAACTGTATAGAAGTGTCTTGAAAAATATTTAGTATTTAGATATTTAAATATTTAGTATTTAGTAAATATTTTAAATATTATTTACTGTCATCATGGCAAAGATAAAATAAATCAGTTATTAGAAATGAGTATTAAAACTGTTTAGAAATGTGCTGAAAAAAAAATCTGCCCTCTGTTAAACAGAAAACGGGGAAAAAAAATAAACAGGGGGGCTAATAATTCTGACTTCAACTGTATATATATATATATATATATATATATATATATATATATATATATATATATATATATATATGAATTTTTTTTTTAACTGTACACAACCTGGTAAAATTCTTGTTGTAAAAGTTTAAGTTTGTAGGAACAACAAATAATAACTTGACTTCTAGTTGGTATCAGAAGTGGGTTATTTAAAAGGCAAAGGCTTCTAGATTACGCTTATTTTAACAAAATAAATTATAATCACATCCTGGTTTTTGGTTAATTAGGACAATAAGGTCTAACTTTGCTTAGACAAATGTTTTGCCACTTATATTATTAAATAAATATACAGTATTGAATATAAATTCATGGTGCAGTGGAAGCAGAATTCATTTTGTGACCTTGACCTTCTTTGCTTTCAGGAACTTTGATGTGGAGGCTGATGTATGAGAAGGAGCGCTATCCTGCTGAAGAATTTGCCCTCTCTTGTGGTTTGTAATGTAATGAGCAGCACAAATGTCTTGATACCTCAGGCTGTTGATGTTGCCATCCACTCTCTCACACGTACTGAATACTGAATGTACATACTGAACACATACTGAATGTAACCCCAAACCATGATTTTTCCTTCACAAAACTTGACTGATTTCTGTGAGAATCTTGGGTCCATGCTGGTTCCAATAGGTCTTCTGCTGTATTTGTGATGATTGATGCAGTTTAACAGATTTATTAGACATTATTAAAATATATCTTCTGTCACTTTTCCAAATGATCCACTAGAAGTCAAGTTATTATTTGTTACTCTTACCACTGGGATCGACAACAAGACTTTTGTCAGGTAGTGTGTATTAAAGATTTTAAAAACTTTTTACAGGTGTGTATGATGTGAGATCTAGAGCATCTTATCATACCATGCCTGGCCGTGGGTAAGGCACTTTACCCTGGAATGGAATCCACTGGTAATTGGGTCCCTCTTTATGGGCAAAAGGTCCTAAAAATGCTCGGCGAATGTCGTTCATAGTATAGAGACACACTGCAGAACCTTGAAATACACTACTGTAAGACACAAAACACACACACATACACACACACTGGGCGTTAAAACGTTACAATACTGAGAGATAAAAATAAAAATCATAGAAATGCTGAATGCAAATATTTTGTACTACTTTGGTCCTCACATAAATGCCCAGTTTATCTGAATTCACGTCACATTATCATTTTATGTTTAAAATATGTAAAAAAGAAAAAAAAGGAAAAAAGAAAAGTAAATTAAAATTATTTTAAACAATTCATTAAACAATTCATTATATTTTAATAATTCATTATTAAACTCAAAAGTTTCCACCGTTTCCAAAAAAATAACTCATCATGTCATTTCTGTATGACAAAAACATTTTGTATTGACATTTTTCAAACATTAAGATTTTAATATTTCACCCACAAAATAAAGAAGTCATGACATGAAGGTTAGTGAACCAATAGAGATTTTAACGATAAAAGCTTTTTAAACCACACCCTTAGATGAACTCTGACCTGGAGGTGGTAAAGACGGTGTAGATAAGCGGGTTCTTTTTGTCACGGGTCTGCAGTAAGAAAACGTCCCCTGAGGGCCCAGACAAAGGTCAGATTGTCAGTTGGATTGTCAGTTGTACAATATCAGCGTAATTTAACTCTAGTGTGTCTGTGCGTGTTTGTGCGCCTTCTTACGGAGTTCATCAAAATGCGTTTCAGTGCCATCATTGCCTGGTACAGAGCACACAAGACGAGCCTTTAGAAATGTTGTCCACTTGTTTACTAGACTGCGCTGTCCTCCCATATCATTCTGGTACAAAAAAAAAAAAAAACAACACAAATCAAATTGATGAACAAACAGTAGCCACTAGACACTAACTAAACAGTCCGGGTAAGTCATTGGTTCCTTACCCTGCAGAGCTGACCAATCCGGGAATAAGTAACCTTCCCAAATCCCTGAGCTTCTACAGCAGTTTCCCTGAAGAAGAAGAAGACTTTATCGTCGTCAGGGTTATCACTCTCAGGAACACCAAATGCTGCAATAAACTTGGGCTCTGAAACACACAGCATCATTTACAGGTCTTGTTGGCATTATACAACAACAGATAAATATCCAAATAAATGATTCAGAGACAAATAAGTGTTTGCAAGATAAGGAAAATAAAAATAAAAGTTATATATTTATTTATTTATTTAGGTAAGACTGTAGGAGCACTAGATCATGCTGAACTCATGAGTTAATATATTAATCAAGCATTAATTAACGACTACTGCACTAGCAACAAATACATTTATGAACTGCTATTAATTAAATGCGTCATGAATGTATTGATGTTGCAACATAATTTTAACTATATACAATGAATACCATAGGCAATACCATGTATTTTAGCTTATAGATAGAAATTTATGTAGTGAATGTTTTGCAAAGAAATCATTATGCAATGATGTTGTATTATAAATGTGTGCATGAATACACGCATAATAATGTACTCATATATCAAGTATTACCCTAATTTAAAATTAATGTCAGATGCATGCTCAATTTATCATTACCACTTTCCTTTTATTATTCCTATCATTCCAATGTGGATACAGTATTGTTATAAACACTTATATATATTTTCACAAATGATTAAAAAATATAATAATAGTTAATTATTAATAAATAATAACATAATAAAATTATGTAATATAGAATCAAGTCATTTTAACAGACATAAACAAACTGAAAAAGACACCCTTTGATGCACAGACGCACCATTGAGCCACCGAGAATCGTGCTGTTCAGTCCGTATGGAGGGTTTTTGTCCCATACTGCGAAAGATTGTAAAGTCGCGTCCCATCAAATCAGTGGCCACACCTGCATAAAGCTCATCACCTAAATGATGACAGAGAGAAGGTTACTGATTGGTCATGACGTATCAGCATTCCCACCAAGCAATTTTAGATTAGATTTTCACTGATCAAATTCAGTTTAGTTTTGGTTAAGATGTCTATGTTTGCTCAATTAGATGTATTTTAAACATTTTCTGGATTGTTTATATAAGCAATAGAAAGATAAAGGGTGGCATCTTACCAATCAGAACAGAAGCTGATGTGTGACGTGGGTCATATGGACTCTTCCCTTTTCCATCTTCTACAAGAGAGGGATCGATTCTAAATACATGATCCTGTGGAGCAAAAGCAAACTTTAGCATTGTGTTTGGCCATGCAAAACCAAACAGGACTGGATTTCACACAAGCTCAATCATATACAGTACCCCCAAACACACAAACTTACCTCCATTTTCTGTCCCACCTCCACATAAGCACAGGTGGGGTGGAAAGCCCCCGTACCACAGGCGTATAGGTGAGTTCGATTATAGTGGTGTAGCACTTTCACATAGTTTACGCAATCCGTCTGCAACACACACACACACACACATGCACAAATCAATTTTATGCAGGACATATTTTACATGCTTTCCCCAGTTTATCTGTCAAAGAGAGAGAGAGACGGTCCCCATCTGGATTGACTATCAGTGACCAGACATACAAAAACAGAAACACACAAGCACATGAGTTGTCTCTTGAGGGATCTTTTACAGGGCAAATCAGAAACGAAACGTTATTATATTATGTATCCTTGACGACATGAGTGCTGACCTTTCCATGCACACTGTGATCCCGGATCTCTCTGTAATCTTTCGCACTTTCTCTTTGACGCATGAAAACAAAGACATTTTCAATTGACACTTACACACATGGACACCTATAGTCTCTCTGTTTCTCTTTTCCTTTGTGAATGTGCTCGCTGGAGCGTGCCACATTTCCCAGAGAGCTGGGAATCACTACGACAACATGTGGGAGCGGGAACATCCGGATTCCAGGGTAGACAGAGAGGATGCAGGGATGAAGCCAAACAGAGGAATGTAGAACAGAAAAGACAACATGAGATGAGAAGAGTAGGCAAGGGTAGTAAAAGGAAAGATTAGACGAAGAGATGATTAGTGAGAGATAACCAGAGAAGATCTGTGATGAGATTAAACAAAAGGATTCTGAAATGAGGCGATGCAGTGGCGCAGTAGGTAGTGCTGTCGCCTCACAGCAAGAAGGTTGCTGGTTTGAACCTCAGCTCAGTTGGCATTTCTGTGTGGAGTTTGCATGTTCTCCCTGAGCTCACGTGGGTTTCCTCCGGGTGCTCCGGTTTTCCCCACAGTCCAAAGACATGCGGTACAGGTAAATTGGGTAGGCTAAATTGGCCGTAGTGTATGAGTGTGTGTGGATGTTTCCCAGAGATGGGTTGTGGAAAAAACTTGTGAAAAAACTGCGCAAAAACATGCTGGATAATAAAGGGACTAAGCCTTTATTGAATGAATGAATACTGAGATGACATATCAATGGGTCAGCAAGTAGAAAATAGACAAGACACTTGAAGACTTGAAGAGACAAGACAATATGAAACGTGAAGTGAAGAAGAAAAAGGAGTCCACCAGAAATAATTCAAGAGAAGACAAGCAATAATTTGACCAAAAATAACAAGATTAGAGACTAGGTGAGATAAAAAGAGATGGGGAGACAAAGGATGAAACTAGTGGAGACAAGATGAGAAAACCAAAGTTGAGATGCCTTGAGAAGGGTGGAGAAGAGGCAACTTTAGATGGACAAGATGAAAAAAACTAAAGATGAGACCAGAGCAAGTCAAGTCAAGAAGAGACAACCAGAGACAAAATGTCCAGAGGCAACAAGAAAAGAAGCATCTCAAGATGACCATAACTGAGACCAGACTAATTAAGTAAAAATAATAAGATACAAAGACAATATAAGAAGACCAAAGTTGAGATGCCTTGAGAAGGGTGGAGAAGAGGCAACTTTAGATGGACAAGATGAAAAAAACTAAAGATGAGACCAGAGCAAGTCAAGTCAAGAAGAGACAACCAGTGACAAAAATGTCCAGAGGCAACAAGAAAAGAAGCATCTCAAGATGACCATAACTGAGACCAGACTAATTAAGTAAAAATAATAAGATACAAAGACAATATAAGAAGACCAAAGTTGAGATGCCTTGAGAAGAAAGGAGAAGAGGCAACTTTAGATGGACAAGATGAAAAAAACTAAAGATGAGACCAGAGCAAGTCAAGTCAAGAAGAGACAACCAGTGACAAAAATGTCCAGAGGCAACAAGAAAAGAAGCATCTCAAGATGACCATAACTGAGACCAGACTAATTAAGTAAAAATAATAAGATACAAAGACAATATAAGAAGACCAAAGTTGAGATGCCTTGAGAAGAAAGGAGAAGAGGCAACTTTAGATGGACAAGATGAGACCAGAGTAAGTCTAGTCGAGAAGAAAAAAACCAGGCACAAGATGTCTAAAGACAAAAAAAAAAAAAAAACTTGTCAAGATGAGCATAAGTAAGACCAGATTATTCAAGTAGGAACACTAAGGCACAAAGAAAATATAAAAAGGCAACAGACTATACTAGAAGATGGCAGTTGCGATAATAAGGGAAAAAAAGCCAAGAAACAACTTATAACAAGAAGACGTGATCGAGGATGAAAGAGTCAACAATATACAATTGAAAAGTTTGAATTACAGCAAAGAAGAAAATGAAGGGAAGAAAAGACTTAAGATAAGAACAGACATTTTAAGTCAGGAAAAGACAACCAAAGACAAGAACTACAGAAGACAAAACTAGAGAGAAGATTCAAGAAAACTCAACAAGTGTAAACCAGTGAAAATATGTTCACAAACAACAGGACACAGAAGAGTTGAGATGAGATGAGACATCCAGAGAAAAGAAGAGAAAAATGGAGGGTCTTTTTCTGTTGTTCTCTTCAGTTTCAGTAGCAGATGTTGTTTAGACTGCGATCATGCCTCACTCCATCTTCTCGTGGGCTTTCACCAGCAGTTTGAACCCTGACCTGAACATCTGTTTAAATGTGCTCAAGAAACACACATACTCAAATTCAAACATCAGACATCTCCTTTAAGTTTTTGTGGACAATGTGACACTGATCCATAAAATACCATCCTAAAGATATTCACATCAAAATAATTCGAATCAATCTTCTCTTAGTATACATAGAACAGTGCAATATTGCTGAATGCAGTAGATATATAACCTGCATTTCACCCACCATATTTGAACCATCGCACAACAATCTGGGATGATACCATGTCCCCCCAAAATGGTATCTTAAGTTTCAAGTAAACTTCTTTTTTATGAATATGCCATGGAGACCAGGGCTTAATAAGTAACCCTCATTCGTTTGATCTATAATGGGGCACAAGTGACAGATGGCTAAAGCTGCAGTCTTAACATACTTGTAAATTAACCCACCTCCCATGCTGGTATTGCCAGTTCAAATCCCACTTGGAGAGGGTCAAGTACAACCAGAGGTGTGGTGACCCGGATGGGACTGAGGTTTATGGGGATGAGTAAATGGAGCTACTAAGAGCTGTGTGAGTAAACCTCACTCCCCTCTTCTAAAGAAACACATTAAAGGCTGCAGTCTTGTCGCCGCCAATAGTCTAGTGGTTAAGTGCGCCAACATATAGCAATGTTGACCCGGGTCTGACTCCCAACTTGAGGATCTTTGTCGATCTTTTCCCTCTCTCTCTGCTCCCAATGTTTTCCTGTCTGTAATCTGCACTGTCTTATCCTAATAAAGGTATTCCTTCCAATTGGTGATGTTTTCTAAACCAATTTCGAGAGGATCACTTGCTTATGATTGACCTTGGCTGGTCTCGCATTAACAATCACATGACCAACCAATTAGATAAATTCAAACACACATAAATAGTCTGCTCTAGCTTACCTCAGTCATCTCTAATTTTTGAAGATTCCCCCCACCCACCCTGACTCCTTCCCCTCTTTTTCTAGCTAAATAACAGGCTCTCAAGACCTACCTGAGCCCAGACTATCCTCCGAGCTCAGGGCTGTCTATCAGGACAGCATGCCAAACACGCATTTACCTTATTAGGCATCAGCTACGTGTGAAATCTTGAAAGCCAGTTTGAATCCACCTCAGACTGGGTCTTATCAAGTAGAACCACAAGGTGCTCACAGGTGCTCAACACATGAGCACTAGAAAGAGTTTATTGTCAAACATTTGCAGTTTTTCTGTCTAGAAGTTATGATTGGTAATGTGCCTCAGTACTTATTTAAAGATCTTGTTTTTCAGATTTTTTTATTAACATTTTGTTTAATTAAACAACAATTTGAAAAAATGACCGTTGCTCCAACAGAGCCCCCCGCCCCACTGCACCATTTCTATACAATATATGATGCACTTTCATAATCTGTTTTACATCATCTCATGATATATACATTCATACAATACAAGAAGATAAAATTACCTTATATGTTCACTCATCTTCTGTGTTTGTGTGTGTATGTGTTTGTTTGTTTGTGTGTATATGTGTGTGTGTGTGTGTGTGTGTGTGTGTGTGTGTGTGTGTGTGTGTGTGTGTGTGTGTGTGTGTGTGTGTGTGTGTGTGTGTGTGTGTGTGTGTGTGTGTGAAAACAAATAAACAGTTTAGTTGAGTGATCTTATTTTTAATGTCTTGCCAAACTTTCTCTGAGAAAATCAAAGTTCAGTTTCCCATTGTTGTTTCGACTTTGTCACTGAATTTAGATTTTGTGAGGAGATAAGAGTAAATCACACCTATATTTATTTAAAGATCTTTTAATTCCCTCACACATGCACTCATCAACATGGACATCTACTTTTTTAAACAGTTTTTTTTCAGTAATTCTTTGTTGTTCTTGTTCTGCCTGTTTAGAGGTCTTTTACATCGGGTAGTTTTAGGAACCCTGTTACAGCAACTATCCACCAGGCTTGATCTCCAAGAAATAAAATCCCTCTGGATAATTTTCCGGGTTGTTCAGTGTTGCCACCTTGTGGACTAAGTACTATAAATCAACTATCAATTCAAAGCACGTGCGTACATTAAACACACAGTTCGAAAAATCCAGCTACACATACTGATCATGAAATATTCACCATATGTCTGCACTATACCTTAGCCTTATAAAACCAAGCATATTTTTGGCTTTAGTTGGCAGCATAATCATTCTAGAATAGTATGGGTGAGTATGTGTTTTGTAACCTCTCTGCTACCTCTGCAGAAAGATGTGATTGACATGTGCCCTCCTGCCATGCTTAAACCCTGCACACAGACACACACATACAGGGGCTTGTGGAGAACAAAGGCCTCTCTTTGAGCTTAACGCACCCTGTGAAGAGTGAGTGTGTATGTGTGTGTTGTATGGTGGGGGTGGCGGAATAGAATCATCGAAGACCAATTAAGTTGCTGACAAACTGTGTTTATACAGGAAGGGGTCTCTGCCTTTCTCTCTACCTCTCATACACACACACACACACACACACACACACACACACACACACACACACACACACACACACACACACACACACACACACACACACACACACACACACACACACACACACACACACACACACACTAAGACTACTGTTTCGAGAGCTTTACACCCCTCAATAAGGAAAGGACATGTTATGAGTGTGTGTGTGAGCATGTGTATTTGTGTGTGTGCTGATGGGCTCTTTGAAGTGAGCCCACGAGAAAAGAAGAAAAAAGACAGAAAGAAAGACAGAGAAAGAAAGAGACAGACCGCAGAACAAAAGAAAAAGAGCTTTAAAATGAACAATGTGTCTCAGGAGGAATAAGCTGTATGTGTGTGTCAATTTCCTGCTGATACACGTGCAGTGAACTTTCAACTTTGACCTTTTATTAGCCTTACCACTGTGTGATTCTCTACAAGTAGCCTGAATCACATTTAAAAATAAAGCACAGATTTTTTAAAACATTGTAATTTTAGATTTAACTCTCTGAATTATCTCAACACATAATCTTCCTCTCTACTATGCTGTTCACTCATAAACTGAAGTGGGATCAGTTTAACTAATTTAATCTGATAAGATTTAACTAGTGTGATTCATGCAGATGATGTTGATCAGATACAAAAAAATCTGACTAAGGGTGCTTTTACACCTGTGGACTGATTGTTTTATTCCGAAAGAGGAATTAAAATTGTTACAATGTTTTTTTTTTTTTTCAATAAGGTTCGTTTTCACACGACAAAGTTTCTAAACAGACCAGAATAGTTAAAACAAGTCATGTGCGAATAGACACTCCTCACATTGGTCAACTTTTCAGAGTCCCATGGATTCCGCTGAGCTGTCACATCGTTATTTTAATTTATCATAAGCAATAAGACATAAGTGATAAGGTACACTTTTATTATAACACCCACAGACATCGTCACCAAATTGTTCTAAATCAGAGAGGTAAGACTTTCTCATACACAGCCTCTTTTCAGTTGTCAAGTTTTGTAAAAATCTATATATTCAATCAATCTATCAATTAAAAAAACTTTTAAAAATTATGCATCATAGGCTTAAAGTATAGAGAGAAATAACAGTTGAACCAAGACTCTTTCTTTTGAGGTGAAATGAGCAAAATAATATGACAAATACAAAATATTATAAGATTAAAATATGGCATAATTATCAGATGGTAATTTCGGTCAAACAGTTAAACAGCTCTCTTGATATTTCGGCATGCTTTCACTTCCGTATTCAACATAAAACACACATTTATCGGTAGAAATGGCATCCCACAATACATATAATTCTCTCTTCAAATATCCGTATATACATATGGCTATTACACAACCATGAATTGAGCTGAGAGACCAACCTAATTCAGGTGATCTCAGACCAAATGGTTTTTTGGCGTGGATCTGAGCGCGATTGCAGATTTTACATATGCCAAACGAACCGCACTAACCAGGCAAACGAGACAGGTTCCAAAACTAACGTCTTAGTTTAAAAGCATCCTAAAATATTCATTCACAAATATAACTGATTTGGTTCTCTAAGTCATACATAGTGATTCATCTACAATGATTCTCAGGGGTACACACATAACAACCATATTAAATGTTATTTTCAAAGCAGCTTTTGGCAAAAACACATATACAGGCAAAACAAAATTAATGTGTGGGTCCTGACAATACACTATAGTGGATTCATGACATGATATTGACAACAGTTTTGGAGCTTCTAGTTACATAATTTAATTAAAGACAATGGATTAAATGAAATTACATTCCAAATAATGTTATGCTTCTAGCACAGACCGACTTGCTTCAAATAGAGTGACCATATTTCAGTTTTATTTTTAATAGGTTAAAGTAAACTAAAATACCAGCTAAAAAATAATTATTTCACTTTCATGCTACTCAGGAACCCACTGTGGACACTAGCAGGTAAAAGCTGCTGCTCCCATGCTTTTCTTTTATATGGATTTGAGGAATTCAGATGCACTGACCAATGTTTGCATATGTACATAACCGACCAATGGTGGTGTAATGAATATGTAATGCAAAAACCCAAACAATAAATGAAAATTGTAAAAAAACAAAAGGAGAATCGCTGACATTTTAGAAGATCTTAATATCGAAATGCATTTTCCCCAAAAGGAAGACATGTCTAAATTTGGTCTTAATTTGGTTTTGCTGTAAGTGCTTTTTTTTTTTTACAATGTGCCATTAGCCATTGACTTTTTATTTTATGAATCATTTCTAAAAAAAAAAACAAAAAAAAACAAACCAAAATGACGATGATGATTTTACTGAGTAAAGAAAATGACCTGCATCTTGGATGAGCTGAGGATGAATATATTAACATTTGAATTTTTCTGCTGACCCAACAGATGTGGTCACTTTGAACTGTGCTTCTATGACAGAGACCGTAAGACAGAAACATAAAGCACTGAAAGACAGAGACTGAGATGAAGGGAATCGAGTCAAATGAAAACAATACTGAATGACAAATCAGGAGATCAGACTGAGAGACTGAACAAAGGAGAAAGTGAAAGGTCAGGGGGAGAGTCTTAGGGAAAATCTTAAGTCTTATTCATGGAGGTCTAGTCTGTCCCTGCCGTCCTGTACACACCTACATGTAATGAGGGTCAACTCACAGGTCAGCGCACTGAACAAAGTCTGTGTCTCTGTGTGTGTGTGTGTGTGTGTGTGAGACAGATCTTATTGTCAGCTGACTTCAGTATGTTACCCACCGCAGAATGAACCAAAACACACACGCACACACACAAATTTTGAAGTTGCACAATCTTGCACACCCTTTAGAATAAAAACAGAGTGTCCAAGAAACATCCCACACATATCCGCTTTACGCTCCAGATAAAACATACACAATACAACTTACACTAACTATGACCCTTTGTTGTGTTACAACACAAAAGTAGTAAAGTTAAACTGTAAAATAGTAAACAACATTTACAATAAGTTTGATGTATGATGTTTTGTACAAATTCCACAAATATATTTGAAGAGTTCACATGCAATAGCTGTCTGCAATTCTCTTCGTAAATGATCATTTTTCTAAGGCTCCTATGTTCATGTTAATCATTTATCGCCATAAGCATGAATCTACAAACAAGGGCCTAAGAAAAATGCTAATTTTAAGTCTTTGTAGGTGAATTTTAAGTTAAATGAAAAAAAAAACTGTATATACAGTGTTCACAAGTCTGAACACTGTTTTTCATTCGTTGCTTGTTACAACGTGGACACCTCTAAATGGTGTTAAAAGAGTCACATGCTGTATTTCTAAGGTAAAATTCACCCAAAAAGTGTAATTAATGTTTTCATGTGATGACGTATTCGCGGCCACAAAATCACACGTGACGTGAGCTGATCACAAGCTGTTACTACAGAGACGGCGGGCGCGCACCTGTGAATGAAGTCTACTTTAGTGAACAGAACCTGCATAGGCTGTGAATAACAGCTAATAAAGTTGTGAATAACATTCAGTTTGTGGTACAGAGCGATCGTTTGGAAGCATGGGAAGAATGAAAATGAAACCGAACATCATTTAAATAATCATATTGCATTTCAGAGTTATGATTGTGACAAGCATTTAATGTTTTTCTTTTTAACAGAATGTCGTGCATGAGAATAAAGGTTAAACAGTGTCAGTATAACTACTCTAGCCCATATAATGTTGAATTTAATGCAAGAGAGAATCTAATAATGGCAAATGTCTGATTTTACCAGCAGAAAAAATGGTCTAATAATGTTGTCAATGAAAAACAACATGCATATGTCTGAAACATAATAATTCAACTTCAGAATTATGAATAGTTGTATTCCGGTGTCGTCACATTACTGTGTATTAACAAACTGGACATATTTAAAGTCTGTTCAAGTCCACCATTCAAAGTCTTTTCAAAATTTTGCATTACACCTACAGTAGACCTGCACATATTATTATTATTATTATTACTATTATTACTATTATTATTATTATTATTATTATCATTATTATTTATATATATATAAGCACAAACACACACATGCAAATGAGGACTGTACAATTTCTGTGAACAATGTGACTTTGATATTACGATATTTCATTTTTCTGCGATAAATATTGCGATATGAATACAGTTTCACAAGATGGTTTGAATAGCACTATTTGATGATGTTCTGTGGAGTCTAACAGTATTCAGGTACAGAAATTGAAGAATCACAATGCAAAAAATGTTCTTTTTTACTTTGCTTCGTCTTTTCTCTACCCCAAATATCTACAAATTCTTAGATCAAGTACAAAAAAATTTGTTTTGTTTTTAACTTAAAAAAAAAAGTCAAAATTAAGTTTTATAAGTTAAAATTGAGTTTTTCTTTAAAAAAAGCAAATGATCTGCCAGAGGGGAATATAAAATAATCTTGTTTTCGCTTCGAAATATAGCTATTTGGATTAGAAACAAGACAAAAATTTTAAGTGAGAAAAAATATTTTATTTTTATTAGTTTTTTTTTTGCATAAATCGCATAAAATCCATATAAATACAGTAATTAAATACAATTCTGTGGTTCCTGGTCAACTATAATTCAGACTTAACATTGCAGATCTTGCGATGTGGCTATTGTGGATGTGCACATTGCGATATTGATGCTAAAATTATAATATAATGAAAAACAAATCTTTTAAAGAACATTCAGTATCTATGTTCATTGCCCCTGACAGATAACTTTGGCTCAACACTGGTTTGCATCTGTAAGTGATGGAGCCGATTGGGAGAGCTGCTTGTGATAACAGTGCTAATTGCCCGAGTGTGTGTTTGTGTGTAAACACCTCATAGAAGAGATGGTCCTGATAAGTGTGTAAACCAGGGCGTGTTGGTGACCACAAGATCTGATTATTGCAGAAACTTACATTGATGTCTTTCCCGGCCCAGTTGCACTCTTCTCTCCAGTCGACAGGCGCTGGCCAGTAGATCTGAGAAAGAAAGAGGAGTTCAGAGGTGAGCAGAAGTTTTGGACACTGCAGGGTTAGACGTGTTCACTAGCTTGAGGGACATTCTCTCATGCACACACATCCGGACACATCCAGCCTTTAACCACACCTGTGTGTGTCTAGAGCCAGAACACAGTGACCGACAACTCTAACTCGTCATTCCTTCTCTTTCCTTCCTGAAGAAATAAAAATCCATCAATCTGTCATCGGCATGTTGGCCTGAACCACTGTTAATCATCTGGCGTGACTTTAAAGGCTGATTAACTTTACACATGATAAATGCTGAAGCTTCCTTTTTGTTTCTCTCGCAAAATCAAATGCAATCTAGTCCCATGCTATTAGCTTAAAATACAAACATAAATGGGTTATAAAACATCTAATTGTTTGATCCTTTTACTTGTTAATAGTTTAAACCAGGGTAAGTTTTGGCTCTGGGTTATTTCATTAAAATACAGTAAATGTATTATGCATATAATAATATTAGAGGGATTCAAGGAGGGACATAAACAGGCTTTGCAGTCACACACAAATAAAGAATAACACTTTTAACTACAGATTTCTGTTTCACTGATGTTAATATTTCGTATTTATTAGTAGTTTGCACCCTACATTTATTAGTATTTTTGAAATAATTTTAGGATAAATTGAATACAATTTTGAGTAAAACGTTTAATGAATGTATTTTTCAAGATTATATTTGATGATACAGTAGCAGTAAAGTACAAAAAAGTCAATGTATAATATACACATGTACAATATAATGTACTGTACAACATTTTCAAATGATACGCACTGCAACAACAGATATTATGTGCAGTATTTTTTTAATTAAAATACATTTTTTGCAATAATTTTAATAAGATGAATAAATAAAAAACAATTATTATGATGTTTAAAGAGCCCCTATTATGGGTATTTGAAAATTACCTTCCATACAGAGTGTAACACAGCCCTAAGTGAAGTGAAATATCCAGCTAAGGCGTAAATCTGAAAGTGCACCATGTTTAAAACTATTGGTTCATCTATAAAAGAGTCGACTTATAGTGGTTCGAATAAATCGCCGCAGTAACAAGTCTTTAGCCGTGCCGGCGTGACTACGATATAAAACTCAAGCCCCGCCCATTTTTTTTGCACGCGCAGACCCGGTAAATTTGAAACCCCTGGCCGTAACCGCTTGTACTGCATCTGGTTAACTCTTTGTATTCTCATAACGCGTCTAAAACCATGTTGAAAACCTGATGTGTGCTGCTTTGTTTATGGATTTTAATGCGTTTGTGAACTCGCAATCCTCTGGATAAGTTGCCGATTCATTCCGCTGTGGCGACCCCGAATTAATAAAGGGACTAAGCCAACAAGAAAATGAAGGAATATACAATATTTTTTTGTGGTATAAAATATTTCATTATATTTGTAGAATATTTTAATATATAAAATATATAATTTACATATGAACATGTATCATGTTATACTGTACCAATCTTAATAGTATATACATTTATATATATTAAAAAGTTTATGCCACATACAGTAAGTTTACAGTTATATTGTAGGACGTTAATAATGACTAGTAGCTATAGTCAGCCATTCCTAAAAAAAAAAAAAAAAAAAGAGGCAGAACTTCTTGGTGGATCGTCCCCAGGTGCTTATCCTGTATACGAATGAGTTATGACTGACAGGGTTACACCTTTGTTTAAAACTTAATTAGACGATGACAGACAAACTGAAGAGAAGATGCTTCCTTTCACTCTTACATTATGGATGAAGGAAACGAAGAGGGAGAGAGTAAGAAGTGTACTGTACCTTCTGTTCCTGTTTGCTGATGTTGTCGAGACTCAGCGATAGCAGAAAGTTTCGAGCTCCAACAAACAGTCGCCCCCTCTCTTCGTCCAATAGCAGAGCTCCGAAAGAACACGAACGCTCCAAGTCAAACCGCTTAATGCCATTAAACTGCTGAAGATCTACAGAGTGTGCAAAAACACAAAGCATTTAAAACAGACAATTCAAAACAGACATTGCAAAGTGCTTTATTCAGCACTTTTATAGGCCCCTAAGACGTCCACAATGCAAAAAACATGGATTGAATCACTGAATCCAGAATTAAAAAAGAATTAGTGAGGAATATCAGAGAATTTGGCAAATTTTAGATGAATGATTCATTAAAAGTAGTAGTTGTAGTAGTAGTAGTAGTAATAGAAATAGTTGTGTTGTACACAACTAATCAAATCACAATGTGGACTATTGACTATTATCAAACCGAACAAGTCTAAGTTTAACCAAAGTCTTTAAATATGAGATCTGCCTGTTCTTTATGTCATTGTGAATTATTCATTCAACATAGTAATACTGTAAAATTGCTATAAAATCACTGGAACAATATTACCAGTATAGAAATGAACTATTTATACACAGCAGAGTTTTGGTATTTTTATAAATAGAGCCTGTATACATATGACTTCTTCACTGCAATGTACTGGTAATTTTCCTGAAAAGTCTGTATTTTTAAAAAAGGGGGAAATGAATTAGGCATGGGCCGGTATATGATTCTGATGGTATGATACCCTTGGATAAAAATATAATGGTTATATGGTATTGTAATTACTGCTCTAAAATTTTCTTTTTAAATACCTGGGTAAAAAATAAAAGCTTTCCCCCCCTTTGAACACAATCTATGAATCAAATGAATCATTGACTCCTGCAGTCTTTATTAGTTTTAAAAACACAGATTTTTATTACAATTTAAAGCAGCATCGTCCTACATATATTGTACTTTAGGAACGGTATAACAGAAAATTTTGGTATAACAGAAAATTTACTTTTTCAAACCACGGTATACCTTGAAAACTGTTATCGTCCCATGTCTAAAATGAATGATGGATTTTGGTTTGGCGCAGTGCTCATGATGATAAGACAGCCTCTGCTATCTTACTATTTGAGCACATAAACACTTTATTGCATAAACACTATTGCCAGAACCAATCAGAGAATCACTTTATCTGCATTTTATAAAAAAAAATAAATAATAAAAAAAAGCTATTACCACATTAATGGAACACTCACTCACTTTCCTGCTTTACCAGAACTTCGGCCAATTTAGTTTATCCAATTAACCTACAGCAGGGGTGTCAAACTCAATTCCTGGAGGGCCCTGCACAGTTTAGTTCCAACCCTGCTCCAACACACTTACCTGTAGGTTTCAAACAAGCCTGAAGGACTCAATTAGTTTGATCAGGTGTGTTTAATTAGGGTTGGAACTAAACTGTGCAGAGCTGCGGCCCTTTTGGAACTGAGTTTGACACCTGTGACCTACAGTATACTGCTTGTCTTTGGTCTGTTGGGGAAACCGGAGCACCCGGAGAAAACCCACACAAACACAGGGAGAACATACAAACTCCATGCAACAAGTGACCTTTTTGCTGAGAGGTAACTTGGCAAACCACTAAGCCACTGTGATGTCCTATCATGTTAAAGCATGGTAAGCATTTTCAGATCAACATCAAAATTAAATTGTAGTTAAATGTGAAGAAAATGTAAAACAGGCTTTCTAAAATGTACATTTTGATTAAATCTTCATAAATAGTAGACAATTGTGGACAAAAGTGGACTACTTAACTACTAAAATGTATTTTACCAATAAATTTATGTCTAGAAAAAAAGGACAAATATTGAATACAAAAAATGTAATATGCAATAAATTAATAATAATTCAGGAAAAAATAAAACTGAACCTGGGAATAAAATAACAGGGATTTGATATAGTGCACTACCTTTATAAGACAGTTTCATCCGGGGTGAGGATTGTGAGCTTCCGCTCAATGAAGCGCTGATGCCGATGAGTCCAAACAGGACCAGTGTGCAGCACATCATCATCATCATCTTCAGAGGAGGAGGAGGACCAAAACTTCTTTTAAGTTAAAAAGCGCAGACAGCTGCCACACAGATGGTGGAGTGGGATGCTGGTTGTCGTGGCAGCTGTTGCCGTGACGGCTCTCAGTTGTCCTGCTTGTTGTTACAGTGATGCTGTAGATGTGGAGTTTCCTCTTTACTCTGAAAGCTGAACACCAAAACAAAAAACAAAAAAAAAACTGTTATAGACCTTTCATCTTCTTTTCATTGACACTGTTCCATCTTTCCTGACCCCTTTGTCACCCACTCCTACAATAACCCAGTCCGATAATAGCCATGTTATTTCAGATATGCAGTCACACACACTCATACACTTTTTATTTCAGTAGCAGATGGTCTAAAGCTACTGTCCTGTCTAAGATAAGGAGGGAGAAATCTGATCCCATTTCTCTCTCACACACACACACACACACACACACACACACACACACACACACACACACACACACACACACACACACACACACACACACACACACACACACACACACACACACACACACACACACACACACACACACACACACACACACACACAGAAAGAGAGCTGAGTTTTGAAGCAGTCATTCTTTTTGAGCCTTTCATTTGGTTTTTTTGATGGTTCTGGTCCAGGTTCATTAAATGGCTACACTGAGAGCCAAGATCTATTCGGTCAGAACAGCGTCCAGCTCTCATTTGAGACCAGCAACATCTAATTGCTGCCATGCGCTTTTGTGTGAATATGTGTGTGTGTGCGCTTTCTTTGCTAGGTCACATTCTGCATGTGAAGGGGAAAGAAATGATAAACTAGAGGAGAGGAGCTGTCTGACTCTATACTGTATCATTTTCAAACATATCATTCAGACTTCACTCAGATAAACTCTTGATATGGTCCTCAAGCTGAAACAGGAAGCTCATTTGCTTTTAGTCAAAACAGTCAGATAATCGAATACAGTTTTGGAATATTACACACTTCTTGGCTTTTACGTTCTCACTATATCTCATATTTTGGGTAGTATATGTATATGTGCAGTATTTCATACACTTCAAAAAGATTGCCTGTTTTTATTCACCCTTCTAATATTTCACCCCTTTGTCTAACGCACACCGAAATGAAACTGGGATCATCTTTTGGTTTCTTCTTCAATCTCTTTATGAGGTTCAGGTGCTAGTAAAAACAGATGTTTATATTTTCATGTGCATGCAGATTTGGTCAAAGGTTTATAACATTTGCAGAATCTGCAAAATGCTAAACGACTTTCTAATAACAGTGACAGTATGCATGGCTTACATGTTCAATTATACTATAGGAATATGCCAGTACTTCACAAACCAAAGCAAAAATGGTGATCTACAGGACCATATGTGTGTGTGCATATGTGTATTTTTTGTCATTTTGTTGACAATTATGTCTGTATGCGAAACTTACCCAAAGTGCAAAAGAGAAAATGTACCCTTTGGGCTCTATTTCAATAATCTACGCACAAAGTCTAAAGCTTATGGCGCAAAAGCAATAAGGGCATGTCCGAATCCACTTTTGCTATTTTAATGATGGAAAAATACGCTCTGCGCCCTAGCGCATGGTCTATTAGGGTTTTGCTAATTAACTTATTAAATATTACAGTTTTTCATGATTGCTAACACACTAAATTTAAACTTTTCCCACAGTTAGCAAAACCGTACACTCAGGAAGCAAAATACAAGGCTAGATCTGCACAACTGTGAGCACATTGTCAGCTTCACACTTTTTGCAAAGCATTACACACAATGATTTGCAAATTACTAAACACATTCGGATGCTTTTGACAGATATTTTTCATAATGGTATTTTCTTGCAACTTCAAAGCAAAGGCTTTCAAATGAACACACACCTGAACCATGAGTTAAACACAACCATCAGGTGTGCACACACACTGCTGCAAAACTGTAGACACACCCATCAGCTGTAACCACAATGAAAAAAGCAATAGGTATAAACTATTAGTCTTCAACAAACATGTTTACAGTAGTAGAGCTATAAATAGTAGTCTTCAATAAAAATGTTTTACAGGTGCATATTATATTATTATTATATTATAATATTAATTTTCAAATAATAATAATAATAATAATAATAAGCCAATGTTGCAGTATGAAAGAGGAAGCACGAAAGTGAGGAAGATTGGTAAACAGGAGACAGGGGATGGAATTTTTTTTTTTTCATTGAAATGTTTACATCACCAGAACGCTGAATAAATAAGCTTTACGTTGTTGTATGGTTTGTTAGAATAGGGCTATGTTTAGTCTGTTTGGTGAATACAGTATGCTCATGTACTTTATAGCAATATCTCTCACACTCTGATTATATCAGTATTAGTCAGTTAAAAATGATTTGAGTGTTTAAGATTGATCACAGCAGTGTGTAAATGAAGCAAACAGATGTATATAGAATGAAGCGTGTGTGTTCTGTTTGGGGTTAAAATTGTATTTTGCTATATTGTTGTAAGGTTTTGGATGAAGTGTTCCATTTGGCAAAAGAAAAATTGTGAAAAATTGTGCTTAAACAATCAGAAAAAACTGTAATAAGTTAAGGCAGACTTTGTATGTGGAAAAAATAAATGCTTCACTAGTGAGAAAACAGTTGAACAAACCATCTGCAGTGCGAGGATAAAAAATGAGCCTCCTCCATTCAGCTTTTTTTACTTTACTTTTACTCTTTACTTTAACCATTTACTTTTGTGGATAAAGAAATAGTGGATATTCACTCCACTAAAGACATCCATTAGTCTACATATTTAATTTCGCTTAAGTAAAAAGATTTGTTTCAAAACTATTTCTAAATTTGTTTTAATTTCCAGCAAACGAATACATGAACCTGCATAGGCACATAGCTAGTGTGCTCTGTGCTGGACTTTGGATCAGCTTTCAGTTGGTCAGTGGCGCGGTCTATTTCAGTTCCTCAAAACAGCAACGCACCAACAATGCACCTTAACACATCTCCTTTATAGACCTGCATACCCATGGGTCCACAAAGTACCGCAAATGGATTTTTTTATTTAAACAACATAACGCAAAAGGGAAAAATTGGTGTTGAAAATTGCTCTGAAAATAGCAACAAATTGCGCCAAATTGCGCTTTAGGTTTATCATTGACACATGAATGCACCATTTGCAAGTATAAAGAGTTTTTAAAAATTCCTTTTATTGACATATTCCAGTCTTACATAAAAAAAAAAATCTATTTTACAAATATATACACTATATATATACATTTTTAGAAGTTCTTTTGTAGATTTCACAGTGGATGCATGTCAGGCCACTTTACCAAAACTGAATCTGATAGAAAACAAAAATTCATTACTTAGCCAAGTAAATGGGTGTGTTTTTTTTGTCCGACACCATATAACCGTTTTTTACAAATATAGTTTATAAAATAACTTTTAATGTTTCATGAAAATGTAAATAAGCAGGTTTGTGTGAGGATTATATTTACAGCTACATTAGAGAAAATAAAAATGAATTGGGTATAAAAACTAAAGACGTTGTCCTACTTTGATACAATGTGTGCGTCTTTGTGTGTGAATTAAAGAGAAACAGAATAATAAGTGTAATAAGAGGAAGATAAAAGAGAGAGGGACAAACTATTTTTAACAATCGGTGATCTCTCCAAAAGTGCTTTGGAAACACACACACACACCAACAATTTCTATACCCATTTGCTGCAGTGCTGAATTTTAATAAGTGTTAGTGAGAATCACCAGCAAGATAAGAGGAGACCTACTGACTCCACTGAATATAGATTATACCCACACGCGCACACACGCACGCACACTTCTACCGTACTGCTAAAATGCACAGAAGCATAAAAAAAAAATAGACTATCCTCCAGCAGCGTGTGGACTTTTTAAATTAGTTTTAAACAGAGTAACAAATACAGCAACATCTCAAACTAAATATAAAAGTGCTTTATGCTTTCTTCCTCTCGTTCTGATTCTATCGCTGTGAATAATGGAACTATTCACACTGGCAGACAGCAGAAGTCTCATAATAAAACACACACACACACACAGTCCCTCTGTCTGTAGTGCTGTCACACTGATTAGCTGTGCTAATTTACTATAAACACAGTTAATATGAGCTACTGCAGGCCTGTGTGTGTGTGTGTGTGTGTGTGTGTGTGTGTGTGTGTGTGTGTGTGTGTGTGTGTGTGTGTGTGTGTGTGTGTGTGTGTGTGTGTGTGTGTGCATGTGTGTGCATTCAAGTACATCCAGCAAGTTTCACACCCCCCATCCTGGGAGATTTATACAAGAGGAGAGCAGAAAAGTGCATCCCAGCGCCCTTCACATCTCTTTAAGCAAAGAGGCTGTGCCAACGCAGCAAATCGTACATCATCATTACAGCCAAGGCTGGAGCGGGACACATTCGCACACACATACACACGCACACACACACACACACACAGATCAAGACTCTTCCACATGAACCAGGCCTTAAAACCAGACTAAATGCAGCTAAGCCCAAAATAAACAAACAACAATTAACCTTAAGACCTCAATGCCGCAGTGACAACACCAGACAAAACAAGCCAAACGAGAGAAAAAGAGAAGGAGGTAACTGTGTCATTAGCCTCTCGGTTCATGACGCTTGGAGTGAGCGAGACCCTAAAGAGAGAGAGAGAGAAAGAAAGAGCGAGGGAGAGTGAAAGAGGAGAAAGGAGTCGATTGTTCTGCTGAGCGGCTCCTCTGGACTGCGACCAACTGTCAGAACCTCCAGTAAGGGAGTGAAAGAGAAAAGAAAGATTGAAACGCGTGAGGAAAAGCCTTTGCTCACATGCGGGGGGAAATAAAGGCATAGTCAAAATTCTGCCACCGGTATTTCACCCTCACGCTGTTCAAAACCGGCACAACCACATGAGAGTTCATGAGAAAAGTGGAAATGTCTGATTAAATGGGTCTGTTCTCATTATCACGTGTACAATCATCAAACTAGGTTGAAAACTCAACATTGTTCAACACTTGATTACAGCATCCACAGAATTGAATGTTTCTTTTGGGATTTAAGAAATAAATGATTTAATGCTATTTAATGCTAATTAAATGCTTTTTTAAAATAAAATGTAATATGTAAAAACTTATATTATATAAATGTAAAAAGTTTAATTGAGATTGGGATTGTTGGTGATTGTATGGGTG